GTCAAATACTTGTAGTGAATTCCACCAATTAACCATCTTCCCTAAATTATCAGCACATTCCTCCTAACTTGACAGAACAATTCAGTGCTTGTGTGTAAAACACAAACTCTTGAGTCAAGGTGAAAGGTCATAAAGTAAATAAGCAAGCCTGCCACAGCTCAATGTACATGATGGCTGTGCTTATATTAATAGCTCCCAACAGCTCTTATCTTGTCTCTCTCTTCCTGCCTCCTCTCTTTCCTTTATCAAAACTCTTGGGATTATATTAGACCTACTCCAATAACCCAGGATAATCTCTTTATCTCAAGATTCTTAATTTAATCATACATTCAAAATTCCTTTACCTTATATTGTAGTCTTAAGGTTAACAGAATTACTACAGTAAATGTCATTAATCTGCAAGCCAAAATTGTGTATGTATATATATATATATATATACACACACATACATATATATGACCAATAAAATTATATATGTTTATGGTTTGGGTTTTGTTTTGAGACAGGGTCTTACTGTGTAGCTCTGGCTAGCCTTGAACTCATAGAGACCTCTTGACCTCTCCTACTGAATGCTGGGATTAAAGGCATGTGCCACCATGCTTGACAAAATTGTATAATATGATGTACAACATGATGTGATATAGGTATAGGTTGTAGAACTGACTAAATGCAATAATTAGCATAGCCATGACCTCATATATTTTTCATTAATTAAAATACATTACATCTAGAAAATATTAAAATAGAAATACAGAAACAAAAACATCCATGTCTTAGACTGGATGTTACATTATGTTATTAAGTAACTGTATCAGCCAAAAAGTAAAAAAGAGAGAGAAGAAAGGAAATGCACAAACAGGAAATCGCAGGAATGTTAGTCAAAAGGGAGATGTTTGAACCAACTGACCGTGTAGTATATAATAGAGCTATTAAAGAGGAACATTAGATTTGTCTCTATAGACCTGCAGGAGTGTCCTGAATGAAAGTAAGAGTAGAGGAGGAAGTTACAAGGTGATGAGAGCATGATTTGCTTGTTTGTTTGTTTGAGACAGGGCCTCACCATGTAGACCAGGCTGACCTGGAACTCACAGAGACCAGCCTGCCTCTGCTCCTGAGTGCTGGGATTAAAGGTGTATCCACCATGGCCAACCATGATTTCATTTTTAAAGAACAAACATTAGTCCTCCAAATTGTTTAGCTCTCTGGGCCAGTTTAATGTAAGTCTTGACCCTTCCTCTGTGGAAAAAGAACAATGGAGATTCTGGGCTACTGAGCTCTTGCAAAGGTTAAATGTGACAATGTGCCAGGTGCTTAGAATCTCGACCTAGAGTTTGAATGCCTCCTTGGAGAGGTGGGAGGGAGAAGATATTGAATGCTCAATTAGGACCTGGGCAGGTGGGGTAAGATCAGACCTAGGGTTAGGGGTGTTAAAAAGTGGTGAAAAATGACTATGTCTTTTTGTATATTTTTCATGGTTGCAGAGGAGAAATTGTAACTGCAGTTTTTTTAATGTATTTATTTTATGCAAGTATGTGTGGGGGTACACATAAGCCTCGACATGTGTGGAGGTGAGAAGACAACTTTAAGGAATCAGTTCGCTCATTCCACTACATGGGTTCCAGGGTTACTGGGCTTGGTGGCAAGCGCCTTTACCCATAGAGCCATCTTGCTGGCCCTGTAGTTGTTTTAATAGTCTAGTATTTTATGGGTAGATTCGGTACCAGTACCATAACCATCGACACCGAGTAAGGAAAAGCATGCACCTAGAAACATCATGATTCTACGTTTAGTTATTTTGGAAAAAGTATTTAACGCTAATATAAAGAGAAAAAAGGCAGGAGAGCCCTAATCCAAGTGGGTCTTGTGTATCTGCAGCATCTACTGCCGAGGCTGCTCCAAGCCTCTATGCTGCACATGCGCACTCTTGGACCGCAACCACAGCCATCTCCAGTGCGACATTGGCGAGGAGATCCAGCAGAGGCAGGATGAGCTGGACACCATGACGCAAGCGTTGCAGGAGCAGGACTGTAGCTTCGACAAGGCGTACCAACAGATGCGCTCGGCCATCGGCCAGCTGGGGCATGCGCGCGCAGATACGGAGGAGCTGATCCGTGCGCGTGTGCGTCAGGTAGTAGCGCACGTGCAGGCGCAGGAGCGGGAGCTGCTGGAGGCGGTGAACGCGAGGTACCAGCGTGACTACGAAGAGATGGCCGGTCAGTTGAGACGCCTGGATGCTGTCCTGCAGCGCATCCGCACCGGCGGCGCGCTGGTAAAGAGGATGAAGCTGTACGCCTCTGACCAAGAAGTGCTGGACATGCACGACTTTTTGCGCAAGGCGCTTTGCCGCCTACGCCAGGAGGAGCCCCAGAGCCCACAAGTCCGGGTGCGCGCCAGTGGCTTCGAGGAGTTCAAGGTGCGCCTGCAAGACCTGGTTTCTTGTATCACCCAGAGGACGGGTAAGCTTGTTTGTCATTTAAAGGTTTGTGCATCGTTGCTGCTCCTGGGGGAGGGCAGAACAGAAAAGATCATCCCCATTTGACAGATAAAGACATCTGGATTTTTATTGTTTGTTGGGTTTGGCTAGGTCTTAAGTTCCAAGGTGCAGAATGAGAGGGAGAAGAGAGGCTGTCCTGATGTGGGGGTACTTTTGCTAACTTTTAAGACCCTATGGAATAGCTGTAATTTTGTGTACCTTGGGAGACATGTGGAAGTTGAGAAGCCCCAGAGCTGAGAACTGAATGTGACATCCTTTCAGTCTTAAGGAGTTCTTTTAAACCCCTAGTGCTCCGGAAAAAAGAAATCACCTGGGAAGTAAGGTTAGGAGAGAAGGAGGCTCAGAAAACCTGGGACTGAGGTGCTTGGTCAGATACTGAGCAGAAGAGATTCCCTTGCCCTGAGGGTGAGGCAACAGTTGCCAACCTCTAGGCATTGACTAGTATTGTACTCTGATGAGGTAGGGAAACACTAGACCAGTTCCTGAACTTGAAAGTTGTCCTATCCCAGTGGGAGAGGAGCCAGGGTCACATTGAGTAGCTAGAGAATGAGAAGTGCTTGGCTCTTCACCAAAACCCGGGACTGATATGAGCTGGAGACATAAAGAAGCTTTCAAAACAAAAGTCAAAGGTGCACAGGAGTGCCTTCAGAGCTTTTGTTTAACTCTCTAGACTGGAGTGTGAGCTCTGAGCAGCTTGTGTAGGGTGCCCCTTCTGGAAAAGGAGAGAATCTGAAAGCCCCTGGCAGGTTCCAAGGGGGGAGGGCTCCCTCATTTCTCTCAGAGCTGGTGGCTATAAACTCATAAAGATATGATCCTAGAATGAGTCATATCTATTCTCCATCTAGGTAGCAAACAATTCCCCAGGTAGGAAAAGAGGAATACCTGGCTGGGATTAGAGCCAAATGAATCACTTTCTGATACCACACCCTCTGGTCTGTCTAGGTTCATAACTGCAGCAATCAAGTGAGTTTTCCTTCCAACAGCCCCTCTGTGGAGATGTGCCCAACACTGAGTGTCCAGTAAAAGCAATAGCCTCCTTCCTGTCACTGTCCCAGCCCAGGTTCTTCTTACCCTAGTGCCCCTGATCTGCCTGCCCTTTCTCTCTGTTCTCCAGATGCAGCTATGACCAGGAGAGCCAGCCCAGAGGCAGTCAGCACTCCCAAGGATCCTCTTGACCTTGAGCTGGTGAGAGGGGTTTGATTTGTGAGGGGAGGTGGTAAGGCTCAGCAGATATGTGGTTGGGAGTTCTGGTGTCTAACTCCAGAGAGAGTGCCTAAGGGACAGCAAATGGCTGGACTGGAGCTCTCAGGAACATAGTGTTAAGGAAGGCATTAAGGAAGTGTTGACTTGGGGCTGGAGAGATGACTCAGTGGTTAAGAGAATGGGAGAATACCCAGGTTCAATTCCAAGCACCCATATGGCAGCTAACAACCATTCATAACTCCAGTTCCAGGGGATGCAATGCCTTCTTCTGACCTCCATGAGCACTGCATGACACAGGCGCACTTGCATACATGGGGCAATACACCTATACACATAAAGAATAATAAATAAAATTTTTTTTGGTCTTTTTGAAGCAGGGTCTCCCTGTAGCCCCAGCTGTCCTGGAACTCACTATGTAGAACAGGCT